GGTCAAACCCGCTTGTTGAAAAAGCCATGTCTTTAGCCATGTCTTTTAAGATGAATATTAGTGTGCTGGATTTGTATCCTACTGGTGATATTTATATTGTTGAAGAATTCAGAGAAAATATAAGCAATCGTTTTGCTAAAGCCTAATGAGCTTTGAACTTAATCTAATTACTGAGAAATGAACACTGCAGAAATTTATTATAGCTAAAGTGATAGGTTCTAATATCAACATTTATTTAATGTAAAGATTTGTTTTAAAAAAATTGAATGAATTTTGGGAAATGGAATGTATCAATAAAGTTAGTAATAATTTTAAACATTTGAAGAAAAAAATGTTGATTGTTGCTGATGAAAAATTGATTGTTTGAAAAAGAGCAGAGACTAATTGCTTCAATCTACAATTGCTTGTAGACACATGCAAAGCTTTTATTCATTTATTAAATTTATGTGTCAACCATCTTTCTGTCCAAATTACTTTTGGTTATTCCCAAGAGTTGTTTCACTGTAACTGAAAGCTGATTCCACATCTATACATGCTTGTGCTAATTGGATGTTTTTGTGCTGATGTAAGCGCAAAAATCTCTAGCCTTGGCAAATTGGAATGACAACTTCTGAAGACAGAATAGACAATGCTGACTCTTAACAAATTAATCTGATGGTATAAGGAAATATCCTATATCTCTAAGGAAATGTTTTAGTAGACATGGCTATTTGCTATTTATGATTGCCAAAAATAATCGTAAAAATACACCTTTTTCCTAACTGTTTTGCCAACTTATCCATTAATACAACACTAGATGTAATGCAAGAAACATAGGAAATATATTCTCAGATAATTCAATTGCTAAACATAGTTTTTGTGAGGAAAGAATCTGTAGTAAGTTTTTTGGAGTTAGGCTTCAATAAAATAGATTTACAGTTTCCTAGTAATATATTTTTGGTCAGATTAAATATTCCTTCAAATTTTGTCTCTCTTGCTCTGACTCCATATATGACTTTCTTACTGTTACTTAATCTTTTTAATAGTTGGTGATTGTAGATATGTTTGTCAAAAATCGTGTGTTGTATGCTCACGTAGTTCTCTGGAAAGAAGCTTAGCTTTTCAAAAACAATACATACGTCCAGATGGTTTGTGGCCATTTAAGTTTGTTGCATATTGTAGAAAGAAAAGAAATCTCCATCCTCTTCTGTTATAGCATTAACTCTATTTTTTTTTAAAAAAATCATAAAACTATGTTTGCTTGCTTTTTGCGTATACCACAAAAATAACACGGAAAGAAAAAATATTGTGCTGTTTGTAGTTAATACCTGTCAAATGTATTAGATTTTACAGCACTCTATATGGTTGGACAAATTTTACTCTGGTCTGCAAAATGATTGTCTCACAAAATGGTATCTCAATGCATATCAAAAAAGAGTAAAAGAAATAACTGGGTGCTATTCTTGGCTTTATATAAACAAAACAAAGCTATATACTTATTGTCGAAATCTCTAGCTGAGGACTGAGCTATGCTGGGTTACATAATGTGCAATTCAGTAAGATAATGCACAATGGACTTTGGGTATGAAGAGTAACAGAACTGAACAGAATAGAAAAACAAAAGTTGAAAGGGACCTTGGAGGTCTTCTAGTCCAACCCCTTGTTCAGGCATTTGGACAATGGTTGTCCAATCTCTTCTTAAAAACTTACAGTGTTGCAGCACCCACAACTTCTGGAGGCAAGTTGTTCCACTGATTGATTGTTCTAACTATCTCCTTAATTCTAGGTTGCTTCTCTCCTTGATTAATTTCCATCCATTGCTTCTTGTTCTGCCTTCAGGTGCTTTGGAGATTAAGTTGACTCCCTCTTCGTTAAATATTGGAACATTGCTATCATGTCACCCCTCGTCCTTCTCTTCATTAAACTAGACTTACCCAATTCCAGCAACAGTTCTTTACATGTTTTAGCCTCCAGTGCTCAAATCATCTTTGTTGTTCTTCTCTGTACTCTTTCTAGAGTCTCAACATCTTTTTTACACTGTGGTGACCAGAGCTGGATGCAGTATTCCAAGAGTGGCCTTACCAAGGCATTATAAAGTGATGTTAACACTTCATGTGATCTTGATACTATCCCCCTGTTAATGAAGCCTAAGACTGCATTGGCTTTTTTTGGTATCTGCAACATACAGTACTGCCAGCTCATATTATAAACTATTAGTTAGTTATAAACTAACACCTATCAGAACCTGGCTGATCAGGGACAATCAGGTGCTTATAACCAATGGGAGATGAACAGGAAATACTAGGACTATTCATCCATCATGTATTTCTCCGCAGATACAGAAACAGAAATCCATATCGACTTAATAACAGTTTGTTTAGTGACTGTTCAAAGTTACAGTGACACTGAAAAAAGTAAGATGACTGTGTGAAAACAGTCATAAGTCACTTTTTTCAGTGCTGTTGTAATTTTGAACAGTCACTAAAGAACTGTTTTTCACACTTATGACCATTGCAGCATCCTTATGGTCATGTGATCAAAATTTGCATGGTTGGCAACTAGCTCATATTTATGATGGTTGCAATGGCCTAGAGTCATATGACCTTCTAATAAGCAAAGTCAATGGGGAAGCCAGATTCACTTCACAACCATGTTACTAACTTAACAACTGGAGTGATTCACTTAACAACTGTGGCAAGAAAGGTGGTAAAATGGGGCAAAACTCACTTAACTATTATCTTGCTTAGGAACAATTGATTTGTGTATTCAATTGTGGTTGTTAAGTTGAGGACTACCTATATTGTTACGCTCTCTGTTATATCACCTACAGTATCTGGCATTCCTAATTCAAATTATCAGAAATTGGAGCCATCTTTTTAATAAAAAATGACAATCTTCCTTTCTTCCAAACCCAACCACTACAAAGGTTGCCAAATTTCTAGCAATAGTTATGGCTTGCAGAAGCTGGATGATATCCTCTTCTCATTTTTAATTGTTTTACATTTTATTTTTCGCCAGTATTTAAAATTTTGTATTTGTGGTCTGTTTTTGTTTGAGACCACAAAATGAAATGAATAAATATCTATCTAAAGAATATCTTATTACAGAATAATAAGGAAATGTACAAACAAAACACAGGATTGGATAGCCTCTATTTTATTATTTTCAATGTCTTTCGGCTCATTAAGGCTGCAAATGCTGGGATTCTCTTGTTTTGCAATTTTACAGCTTCTTATTTGCTTAATTGTTTAACAGAGTTTAAACACAATTTTAGAAATTGAATGGGGCAAGGGGAGTGACAGATATCAGAAGGTATCTGTGAAATGGGAAATAAAAATAGTGTTGTAATTTAATTTTTATGCAATATTTAATTGTCTTTCAAAATTGATAACAGTTGCAGTTGGAAGAAAACAAAATAATATTCTGCCTATCATTCAGCGCTATGAAAAAATCTGAAACTGTGAAGAGCAAAATCACATTTTCAAATGGACCCTTAAAGACATTGTTGTAATGTCATTACTTTCTGAATAAAGTTTGGTGGTTAAGATGCTAACCTGGAAACAGGGAAACCAGGAGCTGTAATTCTTTAAGCATGAAAACTGGTTGGCTGACTTTGGACCAATCATTCTCTCATTGCAACCTACTTTGCAGTCATGCAAATAGGAGACAAGAGAATTATTACATTGCCTTAAATTGTACAAATAAAGGCAAGTTATAAATCTAATAAAAATGTTACCACATCCAAATGTATTTAATATCAGGAAAATATATTAAAATCTTTTAATAATTTTATTTAAAAGTTAATACTGTCAGACTGGCCACAACCTGCTCCCTAGGAAAAACAACCCTTGACTCTCTAGGTGTTAGAGAAAAGGTATTTTTACTAGAGATGCTGAGTGCAGCACGAGTGAGGCAAGCTCTGAAGAAAAACCACGTAAAAAACATATATTGAAAACAATCCCCAATGTCCAAAACCTTCTGTCCAGTGAGAGTAGTCCAATCAGGTTCTGTTCCGATGTTTTGAGAATTGGTACCTCAGGTGCCATTGTAAATTCCTTTTCCAGGGCCTGCGGGACGCAGGAAGATGGCTTGGTTTGGCACTTCTGGTTCCTGTTAGTGTCCATACTCCCCAAATTCCCACAGCATTCTTTCACACCTCCAGTGCTCTTCCCCTCCCAAAGCCCCCCCCCCGGTTATGGCAGTTGTTAGCGAGCTTCAAAGAAAGCGAAAATAGGCATCTAACAAATACTTTCTAAAAACACATTGTAAACAGATTTATAGACAAATTTATAAAAGTATGTTTTTCTACCTCATCATTTTGAAGTGTGAAATCTTTTCAGCTTTTACATTAAAAAGCATGCAAATACAGACAATGCTTAAATATATACATATAAATTCTCTTGTTGCTCTCAGTTGAAAATATATCTATTGTGTCAACATGTTAGCTTTTCCTAAGGGTATATATGCATTATTTGTGGTCTCTTTTATTTTGCTTTTTCCATGTTGTGCCTAATATATTAGGAAATAAAAACTCAGCAGCTGTGCAATGAATTAGAACTGGATTTGTGGCAATTGAATGCCATTCCGAGCTGTCTTCAGCAATAACTTTAGGTATTTACAAGTAATTTTTTTTGGCTTGAGGTTATATCATCTATTTCTTCTTTTCAAGCTACAATAAAATACCATCTACATTCAGTGATTTCATAGACCAGGGATGAACAGAATGATACTTATCTGACCTAAGTATTCTGAAATTTTGTGAAATCACAAAATCTCTTCCATGAGATTTCTTAATAATTTAAGAGCTCATGATTTGGTGAGTCTGAGATCTTTGCTAATTTTGTGTGTGCATATATATACATATATACACACACAAAATGGATTGTTGCTAAAAGATGCTGAATGTTAACCCTTTTTCATTCATGTCAAAATTTATCACTGTAGCTGTTCTGGGCTACTTGTTTGACTTTTTAGTGCCTTACTAATATCTTTATTTTTCTTTTCCCCTTTATCCAGGCATTCCTTCACAGAATAATGCAGTGTGCTATTACTAAGATTGATAAAAATGTAACAGAGGAAGCAGTTAAGGTTAGTTCTTATTTGTTTTCACTTCCTTTTTATTGTTTCTCAGATGGATTTATTTATACTCTGGGTTTCTTGCTTTCAGACATTGTTCTCAAATATTGAAGATATTCTAGAAGTTCACAAAAACTTCCTATCTAGGATTGAAGAATGTCTGCATCCCGAACCTAATTCGCAACAAGAAGTGGGATCCTGCTTTCTCCACTTTGTATGTCAAATCCAGTAATATAAGCTTTATGTAATTGATTATATTCTTTTCTCCAGTGCTGGGGTTTTTTTTTTAAAAAAAATTGCTGGCAGAGTAGTTCATGTATAATCCACTTAGAGGACAAAATGATATTGATTGCATAATTTATGAGATCTTTTAAGGACGCTTGGAAGCTGAATTTGCAGCCTATTCAGTGGAATGAGTAGGTGTCATCATGATTTTTCATGAATCCGGCCTAACATATTGGAACAATAATCACTTTTTTACATTTGTCTTGAATAACTTTCCCCTCCAGTAATATGCAGATAACAGTTTTTTTTTTTTTACTAGAACTCCGTTGGATATGTAAGTGAACAACAGTAAGTTCACTGACTTTAAAATGCACAGTTCTGTAAAGTTACACAAGATATTCATTGGACTATAGGTACCATATGGGAGCCTGATCTTAATCATGAGAAGATACAAACACTTACTTGAACCTAACTATAAAACTAAAATAAAAAAATGAAGACAGGACTTTTTTTCAATAAACTGATTTGTATTGATTTTTTTATAAATTGATTTGTCAGCATTTAAATATTTGTTGTAAACCAATTGTGTTTTATATTTGTTCACAGATACTGTATTTGTTCATATTTTTATTTACATTATTCCTTTAAAAATCTGTTAAAATATGACCAAAATAACTAATCTAAAAACTTTTTATTCAGAGAGACAGATTTCGTATCTATGATGAATACTGCAGCAATCATGAAAAAGCACAAAAGCTTTTGCTTGAACTTAACAAAATAAAAACAGTGCGGACATTTTTACTGGTAAATAAATGCTTTTTTTGTATTCTATATCTCTATGTTCTGGTTTGTGTGGTAATTCGATTGCCATTCACTTCTAAGGAAAGCCAGTTTGGTGAAGTGGTTAATATATTGGGCTAGAAACCAGGAGATTATGGTTTCTAGTCCCACTTTAGGCATAAAGTCAGCTGTGTGACCTTGGGCCTATCACTTTTCTCAGCCCTTTCTCAGGAAGGATTGAAAGGCAAATCATTTCTGAAATCTTGCCAAGAAAATTTCAGGTACTAGTCCAAGCAGTTTCCAGGAGTTAGCAATGACTCAAAGGTCTGCACATGTGTGTTTGTGGGTGTGTGGGTGTGGATGTACATACACACCAACACACACGTTTCCAAGTGACATATAAGCTTTTGAAAGCTAAATAAATAAACAGTCTGCTGGATAAGAATAAGTGCCCACTTTATTCATCAGAACTTATAGCTATTCAAATGTTGTCAACTTTTAAATTAATCTCCAATTAGCATTATAAATAGAAACGAAGTGATTTTTTTTCAGGTAGTGCAAGTTTGTCCTCTGCTCAATACATTATTTTCCTATTTCTACCCTGCAACAGGTATTAAACTAAAGCTTAATGAGGATGTTACATATAGACAATGTGGCTAATAGCTATTAATAAAATGGTTTAGATCAATAAAATGGCATATGATTACCTGATCTTATAATTGTGAATCCTATAAATTTATTATGTGCTAAGAGATGCATTGTCCATTGTTCTGAATTTGAGTTTATAAGTTTGAATTTGTGTCAGTGCTGAACACCACTTTTATCTCTGGCTTAAAAGCAAAGGATGACTAGGTCAGAATTGTACCATAATATATATAAAATTATGCAAAGTTTTTCTCTGCAGTTAATTAAAATTAAACAACATACTGGTTACATCAAACTATCAAGTGTAAATTGTTTCTTCCGAGGTACAATGTTAAGGTCTTCTCTATTTCATTTGATTACTGTCTGTGAAAGTGTGTCCAATCACACTTGGCCAATAAAGAAATTCTATCCTATCCTATCCTATCCTATCCTGTCCTATCCTATCCTATCCTATCCTGTCCTGTCCTATCCAGTCCTGTCCTGTCCTGTCCTGTCCTGTCCTGTCCTATCCTATCCTATCCTATCCTATCCTATCCTATCCTATCCTATCCTATCCTATCCTATCCTATTCTATTCTATTATTTCCTCAGTATGTCTACACAAAAAGCTATCAATTATATTTTTGCTTCAAAAATTATCTCTAAGTGATGTATCTAGTTAAAACAGACAACTCTGGGATTTTGATACCATCTGCAATTGCCTTGTTCTTTGTATGGTTGTGCTGGAATGAACAATTCCCAGAAACATCTTCAACACTTTTTCCTAAAAGTGTGTAGTAAGTCTACTTTGAAGTAGCTATGTCTAGTCGATTTAGCAATAGAACATGTACTGTAATGTGCCTAGCTGCAGCTGGCTAATACGTAAAATGAAGTGAGCAACAGTCCTGAACATTAAAGCCACTTGAAAATTGAGGAACCAAACAAGTCCAGGAATATAGCATTATAAAAAACTACTAAAAGATAAATTTTAGTTTAAATACATATTATTTAATTCCTTTCTTAGAACTGCATGTTGTTAGGAGGACGGAAGAGTACAGATGTACCTTTAGAAGGTTATTTGGTAACACCAATCCAGAGAATATGCAAGTATCCTCTTTTTTTGAAGGTATGTATTTTTGTTTGAAGAAGTGTGAAAATATGTTCTTCTGAAGATATTATAGTTTACATGGAAATTGTTTTATTTTCTGAATTCTGTTTGCCATTTGGAAATAAAAATCTGTTTGCCCAAACAAATGAGATTATTGTTTTTAAAGGCTATAATAATACCCATTATGCACAGAAACAAAAGATGGAACCTAGTATGCCAACAGTATTGAGATCCTTCCTGTGAAATAAAGATCCCTGGACAGAGATTTTTTTTTAAAAAAAAAAACCTTGGCTATTGCTAGGAAGAAACTTCTTTTTGCCTATAAGGTTTCTTATTTTGACAGGAAAAAATAGCTGGAAGCTGTTTTGGGACTTGTTTAGGGGAACACACTTCTACTTACTCCTTTCTTGTGTAAACATGCTGTTGGAGTCATATTGCCTACATTTATCCGACTGTGAGGTGATCAGGGGATGAATGGTGGTGTATAGTGCCTCCAGATCCATAATGGGTCATAGTGATGTACAAGAAGTAATTATACAAAGGCTTTCTTGGCCTCTAACTGTATCTGCTGTTGAAGTAGAAGCTGTGAGAAGAAAAGAGTCAGTTCCATATGTGGAAATACAACTTATTTGTTTGTTTGATCAATTTATATAGTTGTCCATTTCACCAAACAAGCAACTCTGAGAGGCGTATATCAATTGGAATCCTGTCTAGAACTATGAAATGGAATAGAATGGAAAAATGGAATTCTGTCCACAAGTAGGGATGAAACGTTTCTGGAATCATTGTACTTCTATATAGTAGCCTACAGCAGATCTTCTAATGCCATTTTTACCACTGAATAATTTTGAATAAAGTTCTGGTTGGCTATTTGCCAATGCAATAAGAAGATAAATCGTATGTAAGCACAAATGCCCATATTCAATGTGTGGCTTCTGCTGATATAAAATATTAGAACTGAATACTTTAGTATTTGATTATAGCTGTTGCAAAAATAGTGAAAATATGAATCCAAATGAAACAGGATTCAAATATGATCCAGTGTCTTAAAAGATTGGAATTGCAAACTTTGCATTTAATGAAAATGGATAATAATGTTAAATATATAGTTTTAATCTCATGATCAGTTTGATATCACAATCCTATTGTGTCTATATCTTTAACAGAATTTATTCCCAAATAAATAGATATGGTTTTATAGCTTTATTGTGAAAATGAATTTTTAATATTTGACTTCCATTTTGAGAAGAGTATAAGAATTGATTTTATTATTCTTTTTTAAACATAGGAATTGTTAAAGCGCACTCCCAAAAAGCACAGTGACTACTCTACCTTAATGGAAGCTCTCCAAACAATGAAGGCTGTTTGTTCCAACATAAATGAAGCCAAGAGACAAATGGAAAAATTAGAGGTTTTAGAGGAATGGCAATCTCACATTGAAGGATGGGAGGTAATTTCATAAAATGTATTATTTTAACAAGTGGAAGAAATAAGAACTCTATACTCTAGTCTTATATTTTGCACAGGACATTATCATACATAATTCACAATTAGAATAAACCATTGTTATTTGTTTTACTGATTAGATTATTTGAGACACTCGATCAATCCACATCTGGATTATTAATATCAGAAATTTAAAGTAAGGAGTTTTTGGTGCCAAGCCTCCAGGAATTTCCTAGCATTTTTGGACTTAGCTTAGTATAGATGCTCACAGTTTTCTAGTTGAAAGTATGATTAAATCTACATATAAACAACCTTTAACCAACATTCAGCAGAGACAATGAAAAAGCTAAAAAGGAAACATTTGATCCTGTTGGACCTGAGGAAGTAGATAGGGTCCTCAGCGCTATCAGTGCAACTACCTGCCAATTAGATCTTGGTTGGTGAAAGCCTCCAGGATGGTGACTAGCAGGTGAGTTTGGGCAGTGATAAATTCTTCACTGCAGGAGGGGACATTTGCGGGGCGTTTAGGAGACACCGGTTTGTCCCCTCCTCAAAAATCCATTGCTTAATCTCACCTATCTGAACAATATTCATCAAGTTTCCCATCTTCTCTTTTTAGGGAAGGTGGTTGCTTGCCAACTTCAGAGGGTCCTGGATGAAACAGATTGTATGGATCCCTTTCAGTCAGGATCCTTGCCCTATCAGCAACCTTCGATACCATCGACCATAGTATCCTATGGAATCTGGGCTGGATAGTATAGTCTTGCATGTTGGCTCCTTTCTCCAAGGCTGGTCCCAATCAATGTTGATAGGAGTGAAAGACCGGGTTGTATGCCAGTTGTGGCCTTTCCTGGATCAGTAGTCCCCACACTCAGTCATTCAAGTTATCTCACTTTTGGACTATTAGAATGTGGTCTATATGGGACTGTCCTTGAAGAGCATTCAGAAGCTTCAACTGGTGAAGGGTGCAGTGGTGAAGTCTTTGGGGCCCCTCAGTGGCCCACATTATTCAGCTGTTCTTATTTATTCACTGGCTGCTGGTTTGCTTCCAGGTGAAATTGAAGGTATTGGTCATTACCTATGAAATCTGAATGGCATTGGTCCACGTTACTTGAGGAACTATCTCACCCTAATGGGACTGGCCTGACCCACCCATGCCAGCAGAGGAAGCATGCTGTAGATCCCATCAGTAAAGGAAGTTCAGCTAGCGGGGTCAGAGAGAAGAGCCTTTTCTGTCCTGGCCCTGGCTCTTTGGAACCTCTTGCTCCTGAGATGAGATTGGGTCCCCCTCTCCTGATCTTCCACAAGAGCCTGAAAACCTGGCTCTACCCTGGGGGTAGTTGATTGGCTAATGGCAGCTCCCACCTCTTCCTCCCAATACATTCTGTTCCTTTCCTACCCATCTTTTAGTTAGTTATAATCTGTATTTTTATTGTGATTTTATACATTTGCATATATATTTATGGTTTTATTTTGATGTTGTAAGCTGCTCAGCTGAGATGTAATAAATGTAATAAATAAAAAACAAACATGAGGCTCAGAATAGCTCTTTGCCAGCAATTTATATCCAGATAAGCAAGGATTAATACCAGACCACAATCAAGCAGTAAACGATACACCAATCAAGGAACCTCAACTCAGACAAACAAATTAACATAAACAATAGCTTAATCAAGGAACTACCAAGAAGAAAGCAAATTTTTCACCAACACTAACAGGGCAAGCCACTATATATAAATGGATAGCAAACCCCACTCCCTTCTAGCACTGAAGATGTTAGCTACTTTAATGAAGCGTCTGCAAGAAAACAACTGACCTCAGAGAGCACCAAGGACTGCTCTGTTTAACCCTGAACTACAAATATTCTCTTCTATAAGTAGAAATTTCAAAACTGAGTAAGTGGAGAATTGAAAAAGGACAGCCACAGATTTTCCTTGCAATCAACTATATTTTCCATTGAGAGGAGGGCATAGATTTTAAATAATGTGAATTTCCTTTTCAAGTAATTTTCTTTCAGAATAAATGGAGAATCATACATTGAGGAAAAATTGTTTCTTTCTTGCCTCTTTCTCAAAATGGTTGCTTATAGGACATGACTCCTAAAAATCCTTATATTAGTTAGAATTTTCAGATTAGGTATTTTGGGGGAAGTAGAAGAAATAAGACTGGTGCAAAGTTTAAAAGTTTAAAATGGCTAAAATGGAAGCATATGCATTTACAAAAAGAAAGGCTAAAATTTTTATGGTAAGTTCCTGATGTAACTATTGCATTAGTTTCTGTACTATCACAAAAATATGAAGTAAATTCAAAAGAATGGGGGTGAAAATAACTGATCCAGAAGAAATTACTTGAAAGAAGATACAAAATAAGTGAATATTTTTGGATGAGAATATAAAAGAGGATTCAGCAGAAGGGGTAATAGATGAAGTGAATCATAGTACCTGATCAAATAGAAGTTTAATGAAAGCAGAAAAGAAATAATCTGTATTGGCCAAAGCATGAAGCTAAGAACTTTTTCTCATATGCTGCTAAGCAATGTTTATTAGATTTTAGCTTAGTGCTAACACAAACCCAGTCAATAATGATTTTATAATGAAATTGTACTTTAGCAAACCATGCCTTTATGTGATATATGAACTCAGTCACCATCAACTTGGATTCAGTTTAGCTGGGTCTGTGAATGAATGAACAATTACTCTGTTTTCCACTAAGATGAATACAATTCATGTGCTGTTTTCTTCTCCTTTTTCTCATTTCACCTATTATTCTATATTGAGTACACAACAATTAGAAACAAAACCAGTAGGCAATAGAAACATGTAATCAACTTAATACTGTATATTAGTGACAAATAGTTAAAATATTATAAATCTATGATCTCTCAGATCACTTTGAATGCAAATTTCCCCATTAACCAAATAGATGGAAATAAAATGGCATATTGACCACTGATTTGATAGCAGAAGCTTATAATAGGTTTTGTGGGGAACAACATTCAGTGCATCACCAAGAGTTTTCATATGATAAAGAGACAATAGCTTAGTAGCTTTGCATATAGAAGTTCCTGGTTCAATCCTTCGCATCTTGAATTTTTATTTTTAAAATATAATACAGTCATTGTTTAGCAATTGGGACTGGCAACTCTGTTGTTAAGTGAAATGGTTGCTAAGTAAAATAGCAACTGTACTTATGATCTTACTTCAGCCTTCCTTTGCTTTATAGAGGTTGTAAATGCAAGAAATGATCACAGAATTATTTTTTCATCACTGTCATCACTGCAAACACTTGTACAAGGCGGTCCCTAAATGAGGTTTACTTGTAATGAGGTTTCTGGAATGGCCACTGTGACTCCAAATAGTTGCTACTATTGTGTTTTCCCCAAAATAAGCCCTAGTTAAGATCCTATGCAGTTGGCTGCCTGCCCATTCTGTCTGGTTGTTCGCGGTGCCTCCGCCATGAGGTGAGGCGATGCAAGTGGGGGAGGGGGTGGAGCTGCCTCATGTGCCCCGCACCCGCTTATCTCAGGGCCCCCACAGCCAGTCCTCCTATGCCCCAATACATGCCTTGCGGCGACGGCACCAATAGCCCCATCCAGCAGGAGCCTGTATGGCCACTGCCAACCCACTTCTGCAGCTGCTCGCCGCTGCTTGTGTGCGTCACCCCCAGCCTCTGTTTCGCTGGCAGAGGACTTCAAGAAAGGCTTTTGCAGCCAAGAACCAATGTTTTCCTGAAGGCCTCTGCCGGGAAACAGAGGCCGGGGGTGATGCACGTGTCAGCACAGGCTCTGTTCTCGGTTGCAGAGGCAAAATGGAGGCCGGGAGTGATGCATGCGAGCAGCAGCGAGAAGCTGCAGAAATGGGTCGGTGGTGGCCACACAGGCTCTTGCTGGATGGGGCTGTTGCTGCCGCGAGGCGAGACAATGGAAAAAATAAGACATCCCCCGAAAATAAGACTTAATGCCTCTTTTGCAGGCAAAAAAAAAAAAAGACCGGGTCTTATTTTTGGGAAACACGGTAGTTAAAGTCTAACATTATGATAGATAGCTAGATAAATATATATGGTAACACTGCTATACTGAAAACATATTGCCAGATAATAAGGAACTACTAGTGAAGGCTTGTTATATTACACCTTCATAAGTACCTTTTGTAAGCTAAGTATATTTTGGTTACAGTTCAGTGGCTAAATGTTTAAGAGTCAACCTTCTAATGAAAGTTTAATGTTCTCATTTTTAAAAAATACTATCATGTTTACGAGGCATTTCTTTAATAAGAAACCTTCTGTACTAAAACAGCAGGTTTCATTAACTGGACATCTGGTTTGCTATAAGGCTTAAGAGCAGAGAAATATACTTGTTAGAGATGTTCTGTCAGAAGAAAATATTTAGCATGTTGCTTACTTAGAAAAAAGCTATTTTTAGGATCTGATGGAGGATCAAAGCATGACTTGAATTCTACGCAAAAATGTTATAAATTGTCCTTGGATAATGATTATAATTGGACAATTGCAGAAAAGTAGACAACTTGAAAAATACATTTTAAAAATTATTTTTTTCTTCTTTAATGGTACACTCTCCAAACACAGTTTTATTGAGTTGGAGATTTTATTTAGAATCATAATTGTTAAAATAACTTGCTTTTTTGTTTTTATTTCATGACAGAAAAAAAATAGAATATTTTCAATTAATGCAAGTTGATAGCTTCCCTCATGCCAGCAGATGATCTCACCCATGGTTCTAAGCAGATGTTAAAGAGGAGTGAGGATAAGATAGAGCTCCTCAGAGGAACTCCACCCACCCCCCAAAGACTCAATTTCATTCCCCCATTCTGCCCCAATCACCACTGACTGGAACCAACTTGGAGGAAGGAGAATTAAGAATTCAAAACTAAAAAGTCCAGAAATGAAAAATAGAAAAGAAAAAAAGAATAGTAAAGAAAAAGAAAGAAATTACGTTTCCCTTCATCACAAGTCTAAACAATTTTAGTAACTTATCACCTTTTAAAACACAACAAATGATCTCTTCTTCTCATATCCCATCTCTTATCTATAAACAAATCCTTAAAAGTCTTGTTCAGCAAAAGTACATTAAGGTTTATCAGATATAACAACATACCTATTTAATCTAGCTAATAATTTAGCTAATAATTAGATTTAATCTAATCTAATAAACTAATTTTATATTCCTTCTGTTTATTTTCAACACTCTTGATCTTTAATTCCTTCAGTCTGCTAAACTTGATTTCTTTTCAGTTTTCCTTAGTACTTTTTCACAAAATTATTCAAAGCTTTAACAAGTCTATTTTGTAAATCCAATGTAGTAAAATTATCCAGGTTGCTCTTTTGGTTTATTATTTGTTTATCCCTTTTAATTATTAAGACATCAGTCAATTTCTTTTGTATATTCCATGTAGCATTTTTTCCATATCATTCTGGTAGCCTTTCATTTTTAAATCAGAGAGAACCCCCCCTCCCCACTAAAGGATTAAATTACTGGCCATATATACCTTTTGGGAATCCTTGACAAGCCAGTAGGGACATGGATTAACATATAGATGGTTGGCTCCCAGTTCTGAGAACTCTTTTTATTTCCCCAAGACAAATAAACTTAAACACTTTTCAGATATCACAGACCATGCCCCAAGTTAGTTCCATATGATCTGCATAGCTACAATCCAGGTCAAAGTGGATCTGAGTAACTTTATGCACTAGGTGTCTAGAGTAACTTTGTACGCTAGGTATATACTTCTTACAATGGCCATACATATAGTCCTTCAAGCCATCCCTGCGTGGTTATCTAATTCGATATTCTTGATTGCCAAAAGATGGACTCTAATAAAGATTCCTACTTATGCTTGGGCATGTTGGGTCCTTGTTTTTCTCCAGTGGCCTTTGCTGTCATTTCATTTAATAAAGAGTGACAACTGGCAACTTTTTCAGTTTTTGGTTGCATTCTACAATTATGTACAATGTCCTATTTGGACAAACAATCAAAATTGTAAAAAAAATCATCTAACTGTAAGAACACAACATGTCATTATGTGGCAGGTTAAATAGTAGAGGTAGTCCTCAGTTAATGACTGCCCTGTTTAGCAAACATATGACTAATAGTTTTACAACTAGTTCTTGATCTTAAAACCGTGGTAGCTTACCTGTGGTCATGTGGTTGCCATTTGAACATTTCATAGCTAGCTTCCAACAAATAGAGTTAATGGAGAAGCTGGCAGTAAGTCACAAGTCACACAGTCATGTGAAGTTGTGCTTAATGGCCATGGGTGATTTGCTTAATGGCCACAACTTACAGAACTGATGTAAGGCATGGCCACATAATGTTTCACTTAATAACTGCATTGCTTAGTGACAGTTGCTGATCACAATTGCTGGTGATAAGTGAGGATTACTTGTAGTAGCCAAAAAAATCTAATTTAACTTAGATTAAAAAATTGGGCAAATTTAGAAAAATAGAAAATAACCATCCACTATGCATTATAGGAAGCAATGTTAAATCAAATTGAAATGTTGTGTATAACCTGATTTTATTTTTCTGCTTTGAGTTTCATATAAAGTGGCAGTTGCATTATTTAGGAAATGAATTACTTTATGTGTTGAAGACCTTTTTATTTTAAGTGAGTTCTTTAGATATTGTGTTTTACTGCTTGTTATTTTTGTTAAAATTATATTTCCAGTGCATATAACTGATTCATTTCTAAGAGGACTGAGGGCCAGAACATTTAAATGAGAAAAAGTGTGTGGAGGGCTGAACTATAAATAATAACACATGATGCTTTTACTTTTATCCTTTGCAGCAGTGGTGGAATTCAAATATGTGAATAACCGGTTCTCTGTGTGGATGCCACTTCTGGAAGTCCATTCTGGGCCTGGGCAACAAAAAATTAGCTACCGGTTCTGCCAAAGTGCTGCGAACTGGCTGAATCCCACCACTGCTTTGCAGGCATTTTGTTGATTGTTTATGCTTCATAATAATTAAACCATACTTAATTGCTTTTCTACTTAAGGGATCTCAAATAGAACAAATTCATAATTGTTATATTTACATAATGAAAGAATCGGTGAAATCATATTTGTAATTTTGGTTTGGCGAAATCACTGAAATTATTTGGCAGCTGGGATATAAAGATAAACTATTATGTGATTGGGCAAAGATATAATGTGAATAAGTACACATCCAGTGATGTGAGGACAGAAAAGCCTATATTTGATTAGTTATACTAATGATTTCACTCATAGCATCCTGTAATTTGTGTATGATACTATTTTGTGCTATAACAAAGCAGTGTGAAATAGCTAATGTATTTAAATAAGCCTCTAAGAAAGCACTAAGAAACATACTGCCTGCAGCGAACCTTTTCTCTAGAGATTCTATTAAAAATGCCTTTGCAATTACATCAGTGAAAAATGTTACCCATTATTTTTAGAATATCATAATCCTAAAGTCAGCAAAATTCTGCTTTCTTCAGAATGAGTCTGATCCAGGAACATACGGTGAATATTCTACTTAAGCCTTTTTATTTTAAATCAAGTTTCACTGATTTCAGAGAACTTTTATTTAACCAAATTATTTAGATGTGCAGTCCACATTTTCCTATATCCAAATTATGGTTTGAGTTCCAAAGCATACACAGTTTTTTGAAATCCTCTCTTCAAAAGATGTCTCCAAGAACAAAGTTAAAAGTCAACATGAGGCAGCTTCCTGATTTGGGGGGCAATGATTGAACACATGTTTTGGGGATAAAGTTCCCTATTGGTATATAAAAATATCAGGAGCAATTGGAATGGAAAGGCCTATGCCTGATGGTAACAGGGAAAACTTTTCTGAAACTTGTAGAGCAGCTTCTGATCAGTGCAACCAATCTCTAAGGCAGTATCCCCAATCTTCTGCCTCCAGTGGTATTGAGTTCATCTTTGTTCTCTCTGATTGGTAATGATTTATCTAAAATTTATTTATGAGAGGGGCTTAAAGGGATCCTCTGAAAAATTTAGTTTCCTGGTTTTAAAGGACCTTCTATCGAGATGGTATTTCCAGATGATACAACACCAGTCTGTGTTATAAACCTGTTTTTAAAATAAGATAAACAATGTCTGTGGAGATTCTCAGTCATCCAGGTCACAATTATCCTAAAGGTGTTTTTTCAAGAGGCAACTGAACTTTATTTTTCCTTGAAGATGTTTCGCTTCGCATCCAAGAAGCTTCTGAAGTGAACTGAAGAAGCTTCTTAGATGAGAAGCGAAATGTCTTTAAGGTAAAACAAAGAATATCCACTTGCCTCTCAAAAAAACACCTTTGGGGAGATATATAATGTGTATAATAATCAGGATTGTTTTCTAAATGTTAAATCCACTTTGCTATTTTGATTAGCTAAATGCATTATGCATGTAGAAAACTGAGTATTTTGAATCCACATAACTATTCTTTTCATATGTTTCTTTGCTAGGGATCTAACATCACAGACACTTGCACAGAAATGCTGACGTGTGGAGTTTTGTTGAAAATCTCAGCAGGAAACATACAGGAACGAGTGTTCTTTCTTTTTGACAATCTTTTGGTCTACTGCAAAAGAAAGCATAGGTGAGATACATTCATTGATTTATGCTTTCAAGACTGAACATATATAAATTATCTGAATTTAAATTTTAAAAAATATATTTGAATATTTTAACTACTATAATGCTCAGATAATGACAAGGTTCCATCTAATGCAAAACAACTAAATTTTTAGAATAATAATTTAAGGCTACAAAGCATGCTTTTTTACATTGCAACCAACATTTCTTATTAAAATAATATTGATTTATTAATAATTATTACTAAATTATTAATTTATCTGCAACAGCATTAAATAAAATGAGGTCTAGATAGTACTCAATTTTTGGTCTATAAATATTTGCTAATACTAATAAACAATCTTGATGAGCCTGAAGTACACTAATACTTTTAACATTTGTACAATACTTTTCCTTAATTAGACGATTGAAAAACAGCAAAGCATCTTCAGAAGGTCATCGATATCTTTTCCGAGGCAGAATAAATACAGAGGTGATGGAAGTTGAGAATGTTGATGATGGCACAGGTATATGAATATACATCACTTTCTTAATTATTATTATCTTTTGGATGTTGACTTTGTGTCTCATATAATAATACAAGTAATCCCCAGTTAAAGATGGTAATTGAGACTAGCAACACTGTCACTAAGTGATGCAGTTGTAAAGTGTGATGTCACATGACTTTACCAACATACAAGAGTAGTTGTACCAGTTTCATTGGCTGATTAAGCAAATGCCGCACAGCTGTGAAGTGCTATTTACAACCTTCTGCTGGCTTCCCCATTGACTTTGCTTGTTGAAGGTATTAAGTGTAACAAATGGCAATCACATGATGCCAGGGTACTGAGACTGTGTAAGTTCAAACAGGTTGCCAAGCATCTAACTCATGATCACACAATTACAGGGACATTATGACAGTCCCAACTGCAAGCACCAGTCATACGTCTCTTTGTTCAGTGCTATTCAGTGCTATAACTTTCAATGTTTGCTGAATGACTGATCATTAAACAAGGACTACCCCTATACAATTTCAATAACATGCAATTATTTGATGTAAATAAATTTGGCATAAATGGAAGATCAAAGATTATATGAGTAAGAAAATTATACTCCTATTTATAAACAATGGCTCCCAATCTTTGTGTGCAAAACTGTAATGAAGCAGCATATTCCAAGGATCCATCTAGCCTGCCTGATCCAATTGGTTTGGCAGATACTATAAGTGGTAATTTCAGGTAACCAGGCCCTATGACATGAAAGGATTTATAGGTAACAACCAGCATCTGTAGAACACATTGCAAGAAGCAAGCTGTGATATTACCAAGGCATGAATGACTGTATTTTGTAATGGAAACTGCCATTTCTGTTGCAATATTACTTACAGCATGCTTTGTTTTTGTTTGTTTTATTGTACTCTTTTGGTAAATGGATGGATTTTCGTAAGATTAGCATTTCTGTTTAGATAACAGAAAGACATTTGATTTGGTTTGGCTAGGCAGGACTAGATTCATAATTTTGAGCTGGCAGTCAAATATTAAATGAATTATAGTTTCTTCCTGGTTCTTAAACCCTGTTAAAATTTTCATAAAACATGGAAGGAAACACACAGGCACACATTTATTTAGGAAAGTTTTGCTTTAAGTAAGAGCACATTGTAATGCTTAGGGTGGGATCAAAAGCAATTTTGTACAACTCACAGCGTTTAGTAGCCATCAGATAAAATGTACATCTCAGATTTTCCTTTCTGTGATAATTTTTCAGCTGATTATCATAGCAGTGGTCACATTGTTCTCAATGGTTGGAAGATACACAACACAGCAAAGAATAAATGGTTTGTGTGTATGGCCAAAACTTCTGAAGAAAAGCATGAATGGCTTGAAGCTATCCTAAAAGAAAGGGAAAGAAGAAAAGGTGAGAACATGAATTTTATTTCTATACACTCTCACACCTGGAGGAAGTACTATGTCAAGAGACATTTCCTGACAGTGAGAACAATCAGTCAGTGGAATGGCTTGTCTTCAGAAGTTGTGGGTGCTCCATCACTGGAGGCTTTTAAAAAGAAACTGGACAGCCATTTGTCTAAAATGGTTTAAGGTCTACTGCTTGAGCAGGGAGTTGGACTAAAAGACCTCAAAAGTTCCTTCCAACTCTGTTATTTTGTTAATTCTGTTAATTCCTTTTCTTTGCATTTCTTACCTGAGGGATATTGAACAATAACTTTGAATCCCTGCTCCCTATACCTCCTGGCAACTACTTTTGCTAGCAAGATCTAGTAAGTGAATAAGGTCCTGAAGTGTTACGATCCTGCTGGATATTCCTCTGATGAGAAGGATAGAAAAGAAGTGGAATTAGACATTAGGGACATGATCTGTGTGTTTCCAGTAATGATGAAGCCAGGACTTCTCTCTGGTTAAATTAGATCCACCAAGCCACTAAGAAGCCTCCCATGTCCCTAGTGAGCAGAGATGTTCATTAAAAATTCAACAACAGAACAAAACTCCCTGGATTTTTTTGTGAATTTTTTTCCTCCCCCAAATAATTAAAAAACATCCTATCCAGATTATTGCTTAATGCTTACAAAGAAATATCTATATTAGTCCTGGAATTACTTACTCTTTCTATACATTAATTGAAAGCAAAAAAACCAACCCTCAGACTTTTAAGCTTTGGGCAGTTAATGCTGATGTAGGCTAGCAAAGTTTTTTTTTAGAAAGAATTCTTACTTAAAATACACTCGTTCTCTATTTCCACCTCTACCTCTCTATAACATATAGCTATGGAGTTTTAAACTGTGCAGATGAATAAATGTTTGTAGTAACATTATTCAGCAAGGAGCAATAATTGGTGTGAGCACCAGAATAATCCAGGGCATTGACCCTGGGGTGTGAGAATGTAATTTTGGTCCCACATGAAGATTTTTTATTGTTTTAATTTGATAAGCAAAGAAGTTCCTCAGGCACAGTAGAAAATTATAGCCAACAATGAGGGAACCAAAATAAGAGCAGGAGTTAGATTATTTATCACATTAGTTCTCAAAATGAAAGGTTCCGAAACATTTATATAGGGATTTTCTTTTGATAATCTTTGTGTATAGTCCAGTCATTCCATCTCCACAACATCTGTGTAAACATCTCTTTTATAAATCAGGATGCACTGACTTAATTACATATGGAACAACAGATGATTCATGGACAAAACAGTTTGCAGAATTCAAATGCCTTCACTGAAAGTAGTTGTAAACAACATTCCATTCACCATGAATAAAAAGGAGCTTTTGTTTATTTTATAATTCTATTCACATTCATGAATATAAAGCAATTGGAAAAAGTTTACATAAGTCAAAATGAAATTTAGCTGACTTTCTGAAGTAATGAGATTATGATCTTAAAAGGTTTAAAAAAATATTGTCTTTCTTCCTTCATAGATTTTGAGGATTGTGTATATTCTATCACAATGAAAGATTACTGAATTATTTCTGCAATTTTATTAATGTTTAATTACATTTTAACACTCAATCTGTTAGCTGCTTTGAATATGCTGTGAATGTAAAGATGGAGTAAATTTGAAAAAAATGCTACAAATAAAAACTTAAAGATTTGTAATGCTTAAAAATAGTACATAAAATATTCTGTTCTCTGTCTCTGCAATCACAATGGCCTCGAAATGGGTGACCTGTAAAGCAGTTATGGCTGTTGTAAAACATAGGGCCACCCCCCCCCCATGACTGCATGATTGATCTCTTTTGCCTAATAGCTGCAATACTGACGTAACTAAACCAAAACCAAGCAAACCTTACCTTAACATATAAACTAAACCAATGCAAATAAAACCCTTGCTCTTTCTAGAAAATTGTAAGTTGAATCCAATCTTACTCAGGCAAGTTTGCACTTCCATGTCAGCCTAGTGTGAGCAAGAGTTACCGATTATTTCACTACTAGTAATGAGGAGATGATGTGTGTGTGTGTGTGTGTGTGTGTGCGTGTGTGCGCGCGCTATATGGATGTATTACTGCCAGTGTTTAGGCTTTGTCTTCATAATGCAGTTTGTTAATCTGACACTATTGGGTCCCTAGTTTCCCTGACAATTATTTGGCTAGTCCGTTCAGCTTTTGAAATTATTTTCAGATAAAAGTCCTCATGAATGGGGATCTTTATATTTATTGTGTATTTGAAAAGGAGATTTCCTAGACTTGTTTCTTGAGATCATCTTAACACTGAATATACTATACTAGGAATTCTAATCTGAATCTTTCAGTACTTCGTTTGTGAATATATCTGTGTGTGCGCGTGCGTCTGTGTGTGTATTTGTTTTTTAGAAAATCATGTCTGGAATGATTTGTTTGAACTTGTTCAGGTGCTCTTGGTAATGTTTACTATTCTAATTTTAAAACCCTTGGAAGTAAATCACACATTATTTTACATTTAATGTTAGTAGGATTGAAAACTGAAGGACACCCCTCCCTCACGCCCCACAATAGATAGATAGCAATACATTATTTGGAAACATTTCAAAATTATTATATTATGATTTGTTTTTCAGGGTTAAAACTTGGTATGGAACAAGATACATGGGTGATGATCTCTGAACAAGGAGAAAAACTTTACAAAATGATGTGCAGACAAGGCAATTTGATCAAAGACCGAAAGAGAAAATTAACTACTTTTCCAAAATGTTTCCTTGGAAAGTATGTGTTTAATATCTGCATTTAAAATATTGTCTCATTATTTTAGTTATTATTTATCAAATTAGATAAATAAAATGATCAGACTGTTTAGGATTTCTAGTCAACATATTCTCACTCTAACGCTAACTAGCAAATTAGTTAAGCCAGTGTGGGTATTGGCTGCTCTACATAATATTCCTGAAAAGAAGCAGCAGATATTATACAAGTATACAGATTTTTTTTGAATGATGATATAAATAATTGCAGTGATATCTGTCTGTCTACCTGTCCCCCAAGCTTTAAAAATGCAGTGTTGAAACTATAAATGTTATTTTACGTACGCAAAAAGTAATCGGTAAACTGCCCCTCTGTCTTTCATTTGGACAGAATTCTGTCCTATAGTTTAGAAAATTAAATAGAATGTGCTATGTGTTATAGTTTCTCATTTTTTCATGGATTGACAAGATACAGTAGCATAAATAGCTCTTTTTGGCCTTATAAAATATAAAGCCATTTTATAAAACATACAGTAGTATTTCACATATGGTATTCACACACACATACATACAGCCTATTTTTCGCCTTTTTTATGCAGTCTCAGGTATCATACGAAAATATGAGTGCTATTTTATTTAATTAATAAGGATATCGTATAATAAAACTGACTGAATGTTGTTTATAGGAACATCAGATTCTTCCTGCAGCCCAGACATTGGCTTCACCAAACTATCAATGCAAAACAGTTCTAGCAACAGTTTGTACCTATGGACATTGATGAAGTCTGATCAGATCAGAATTGATAAGGAATAGAGACTTGTAACATTTATTACCATAAACTCTCACATAATTCTTAAATACCTTCTTAATGAACTTTGATTGCACAGTTGTTCCCTTGTTGAGACAGGCACATATGAAAACTATAATGTGAACTGTAAAATGACTTACCATAAGTAAAAAATCTCCCTCCAGTGCACCTCAGAAAAAAAGGGGTACTAGTGGAATAGAATAGTAGCCCCGGTGCTATTAGCTTTATTACTTCATCCTTTGCAGTTCTTCCAACAATATTAAATGCAGCTTCTGGCCACCCAACATTTTATTGACCCTTACTCCATCCTAGCTGTTAAAGAAACAAAAAATTGTGAATTCTAAAATCACAAATTTAGATTTTAATCTGATATCTTCTTCTCTCAGAATCATTGTACTCAGAACAGCTTATTCATGAGTAGACATGAATTGGATTACACCATTAATGAGCAAAGTGTATTCTGTTGCTTCTTTAGGAATTTTACTTCTTTACTATATTTAACTTAGATATGTTAAAATATTTTTTGTCTATCTGCTTTTTTTTTTTATTAGTGAGTTTGTATCTTGGTTATTGGAAAGTGGAGAGATTCACAGACCTGAAGAAGGTGTTCATCTTGGTCAGGCTTTGTTAGAGAATGGCATTATCCATCATGGTAAATAAGTTATCTTTTCTAACAATTATTTGCAAACATTTAATTCTTTTTACTTGTCAGTAGGTGTACAGAATATATAATTGTTTATGAGAGTGACATTTGTTGTCATCAAAAGTTACAGAATAAGTCTTTGGAACAGTGAGATCCTTGATGCTCTCTGAGTTTGGTTGCTTTCTGATGATGTTTCTTTACCAAACTAGATAACATCACCACTGTCTTTGGAACAGTTTGGTGTATTATTAATTCTAGCTTTTAGTTTTCAGTTTTAGCCTAAAGAATAACCTGTTTTATTATGTATATCTATTATATCCATATTGTATCTAAATGATGTTTAAGAGCTATAGAGATCTGATATTTTCTTTTGTCTTTTATAGCTTGCCCTATACTTTATTGTTTTTGTTTTTGTCTTGTAGTTGTTTTATGCTGGTTATTGACCAAAACAGAGGAACTTACTTATTTACTTATTATTAGGTAGCCCCAGCTGTGTTTCCACAGGAACTGAATTCTCAAAATAAAATTGAATGGCCCATCTGTTTTTGTTCAGAAACAGAAAATCACTGTGCATTTGAGAGACAATTAGATTTACATTAGAACTGTATTATTTTCTGGATTTGCTATTTCCACTTGAAGTATAATTAACAGTGTAAGAATTTTATTGATATTCATTCAGTATTATTTTATTGACTTGAAATAATTGGTTAACTCAAAACTATTGTGAAGTTTGTGCATTTTTTTTAATTCACTTCTTTTTGAAATTTTAAATGGGGCATACTCTTATCTAATAATAAATAACTCAAAACATATGCTTTTTATATCAGAACAGTTGAAAGTAAGAACTAAAGCCTTCTTCAAGACATGTTCAACTCCTATTGAGTTCAAAGCCATGTTCAAAGCAAGACAATAATCACTTGCAATTGCTTTCCTCTAGTTTGTTTGTTTGTTTGTTTTTGCTTTATGTCTAGCAAACAGCTTTGGGATTCCCTGAAGTTCTCCCATCTTAAGTACAAACCAGGCCTACTTTCCAAGTGCAGACAAGGAAATGCATCTGAAGAAAACAGAAGTCAACATATCTTAATTAAATCTTTTATATTTTTGTTCTGTTAGTCAAACAGCAGGACAAAGTGATTCAAGGATGTAAAATAAAGATTTATAACTTTCCAATGATGGATATAAGTGAATATGAATTTTAGCATTTTTGTTTGATTTTCAAATAACTTAAACTCATTAATTGTTGGTAACAGACTAATTGGTAGTATAGACTAAATGTCATGGTTCTGACAGATGAAACTCTTCAAAAGAACTTTGAGGCATCGTTTACCTTAAATAATCTTTTATTTGAGAAACAAAACATTGGCACTACATAGTTGAAACCAAAAACTAAATTCCCCTCCCCTGGATACAAAGTAACAAAGTGCAATTCCCTCCTCCAATAGACAGTCATAAATCACATTCCCCAATTAGCTTGAAGCCGGGCTTTCTCCCTAGCTCTCCAGCTCGCCAAAACACTATCAACTCTGGGCCCAATGTCCTTGGGTTCCCAACGACTAAGTTATTATTGTTATGACTAGCTGGACTCTCATCCCTATTCCCCCTCCTAATTCTAAAAGCAATAGAGAAAATGGTTGCATTTCCATCTGTTGTCAAAGCAAGAATATCCGATGTTAGCAGCGTTGGCACTAAATGTGATTAACATACAACTTGCTTCTTCCTGTTTTGTAGCTCAATTGTTTAAAATATACAGATGTTGCATTTAATATTTTTTCATTGATGTTTCTTTATCTTGTTTTGTTTTCTGCTGTTGTATAATTAGTTTGTTTGAAAACCTTTTTTTAGTTTAATTGTTTATCAGATTCTATTTGGTTACAACTGAATAATTCTGAATAGCAAGCCAAATAAAGATACATATACAAATGTTCTAGAATGGACATACATGGACTCAGTAGCTGGTTGTGCCATAAGCCAAAATGAACAGAAAAATGGAAACATAAATTTCATGAAGAGTACAGATGTAACAAACTCCAGTAGGAAAGATCAAAAGTGTACTAATATTGAACTAATCAGAGAGGGAAGAAAAAATCGGATTAAACAATATATATTTATGAATAAGATACCTTGTTTTATTTTGGGGTATGTTTTGTTAAAACGGATTAATTTGGGTAAGATTTCAATTCTATCTGTATTAGTTAGATTTGGTCAGTGAGAACCAGATATTGTCAGAGTCACAACTGCATTATGAGGAACACAAAGTTCTGCAAAGCAGTAGTAATTTTTAATTTTTTAAAATTAAAAATGTTCACACTCTTATTAAATAAGGAAATCTTAAAAGAGATGTGTGTCCTTATATAAGCACTGGGTTGTTTTAATTATGTGTTTGAAGGTGTCTGTAAAAGAGAGATGATATAACATAACATGGGATATAGTATTATATTTAGGTAGCCATTAAATTGCATTCTGATGTCAGGGGCCTAAAAACATTGCTGGGCATTTATTTAGAAAAATAAATGTAGTCCAAAAGCTAATGCTGAAATTTTATTTATTTATTTAAAAAGATTTGTTATGAACTGATAAGGATTCAAATAGCTGTTACTTAAACATCCCAAAGTTGCATCTGAGAAAAAAAATATACATCCTCACTGTTATATCAATAAGTTGTGAGAAGACTCAAATTCCTGACCTGACATAAACAAAAAATATTTTAATACTAAGGGGAGAATTGTTCACTTGCCAGAACACTTATAACACTCCCACATGATTTTTAATAAAGCTTGATAATGAGGACATTGTGAGATTTGTTCTTGAGAAAAAGATTTATTTTCAGTTTAGGCAGTTGGCAGTGGCTATCAAAGAATGAGAGAGAGAGATGTATTCTTCATATTAAGGATTCAAATTTGACAACCACTTTTGAAATAAATCTGGTAGATGCAGGAAAGCTTTGGTTCATAAGTTATGCCTTTACTATTTTAATTTTTTAACAATTGCAATTTTCTCCATGCAAAGATAGCTGGGAATAATGGGACATTTGAGTCTTTGAGAAAGGCTAAGATGTATAGCATTCTTTGCAAAATAAAGTTCTTGCTAATCAGATTCAGGGCACACAATAAAATGAAAACGTATGGTGAAGTCTAATGAAATCGTAATTTGCCATTGTGAAAAAGGGCAAACCCATTAAAGCCAATTTTAGGATACAGCATACTTCTGGCTCTTCTCATGCATTTTCTTTACATTGACATATTTTATGTTTGTTTTTGCGTTAGTTACAGACAAACATCAGTTTAAACCTGAACACATGCTCTATAGATTCCGTTATGATGATGGCACATATTATCCAAGAAATGAAATGCAGGATGTAATTTCAAAGGTACAAACATTATACTAAATAGCTATACTATTTAAAAATATAAACATTCTGATTAAAAACTAAACATGGCATTATAAAATTGGTGTTATAAATTTAATATAAGTTAAATTTCCTGTTTTCCTGATGTGCAAAAATGAGATTAAATTATGTTGTGTTGAGCTGTTGAAGTGGAAGACAAATTACAGTGTTATATAATATTCAATCCTAATACAATACAATATAATGTAATAGGTGAGTATAATTCGATTGAATTTAGCAATGTTATCTATATTTTCTTCTTTTTCAGTTTAATATTAGTATTCTTTCAATGAATAACATGTTATATTCATTTGTTGAAAGACTAGAGGCAGGCCGATAATTCATTAAAAAATAAGCTCACTGTGCATGAGTTATATGCATCCTTCCAGTCATTCTTTTGTTTTATTTAATCAAGTAAATAAATTGGAAAGGAATACCTTAGTAGTGCTTCTCAACCTTAATGTTGGCTGAGGAATTCTGGGAGTTGAAGTCCATACATCTTAAAATTGCTGAGATTTTTTAGTGTGATGTTCTGAGCCAACGATAATGCTTTGTGGTAGGCAAACAAGCCACACTTTATGAGTTAACAAATCCTGTTTTAAATCTTGGTTTATGATCCTGGTGTAATAAACTATTAGAAAAAATTGCCTTATTTATGTATTTGTTCTTGTGAAGGAGTGATGTAGGAACAATAGAACATTGTAACTAAATAAACTACAAATCCCACCTTATAGTATTGTGATCAGAAGTGCATAACCACTTTCAAGGCTACACTTTGAATATCATGCTGATAATTAAAATGTAACAGCAGAAGCAACCTTCAGCAAGAAATAGTGACAACTGTTCTTTAATTCATTAGACATAGCTATCATTTTTCTCATATTTGTAAGTGTTTTAGGTGTCAATGGGTAAGAGGGCACAGTGGAAAATGTTGCTGGTATACTAATATAACAAATAATATGAACTAAAATCAATATATTTTTGAAGTAACTATGTGGAATTTTTCTGGATTTCAAATATGCTTTTGAAAGATTTTTTTCCTCTTTCATTTTATAAAGCAATTTAAATTAAGGCCATAAAATGCCATTATTTGAGATAGTAACCTGTATAAATATCTATGGACTTTACCTGATACTGAGTAATTTAGATTGAATATTGTTCATATACTTAACAGGGTGTAAGATTATATTGTCGCCTGCACAGTCTGTTTACTCCTGTAATAAGGTAAGTTTGGCTTTTGGTTGTTTAGTTTCATAAGGTTAAACAGTAGTTGCTACCCACTTATGCAGATCTTGCTCAATAATTGTTCATTGTTCTAGTACAGAAGACTAAGTTGAAATTATAGCCATAGAAAGTCTGCTAGAAGAGCAACCTTTCATAAAAACAAGTCATTTTATTTTGATCATTGACCAATAAAACCTTCAATAAATGATGTAAGACTAATGCAGGGCATGTTTGCATTTACATTTCCCTTTCCAATAGATAGACACAGACAGAAACATTTTACACGCACACATATATGCACACATACACATACACACATAGACATACACACATAAACACATACATACACACACTGTGTGTATGTGTATATGTATATGTATGTATATATGGGCAAAAAGCCTACAGGTTGATTCACATATAGACATAAAATAATAGCATAAAATAAAATTAGTTAAAACAATGCATACAATATTTCATTCCAATGCAAACTAAAAATAAAAAGAGAAAAACATAATCAATAAACAATACAAATCCTGAAAGAAAAAATGTAAGCCATCTCAGCAGGTCACCTGTATATTAAATATCAAACGAAGATCATTTTAAATAATAAACCTTCTGTTCTTCTAAATATTATAAAATGTATATCAAAGAGAACATACTGCATTGTTTTGATTTGAAAAATTGCCTTTTCAAAAATGGATAAATTGCGTACCTTGAATCTAATTCTTGATGTCCAGAAAATTAATGCTTTTCCAATTTATCACACCAGATATAACAAGTATTTAAACAACAGTGAAGTCCCACATTTTAGAACATAAGTCAGTGTGACATTAGTATCTTTACTACTGAAGGATTTCTTCCTAAATCTACTTATATACTTTGTATTAAAATAATGTTCAAAAAAGATATCAACTCACAGCACTAAATCATGATTTAATACTCCATCAAATATTTTGCAGTAACAGACGATCTCTTTTCAAATACATTCTTTGGGGCATCCAATAAATTCAAATGGAACATTTTGATATATTGATTTCAATCTTAAATATGATAAAACTAAATTAACATTCTTTAAAGTTTTCAACTGTTGACCTATTTCTTAAAAATATTCAAACATTCTGGTCTTCAAGGACCACATACAATAGTCAGAGAAGGAAGTCAAGAATGTTTCCTATGAAAAAAAATTCTAAAAGATGAAGTTATCACAGAAAAAGTTTTGTCTTTTATGACTGCCAGCAGGCTTTTTAGCAGTAAAGTCGAGTTCAACTACTAGATTTCTGCTTGCTATATATAGATAACTGCTTCATCAAACTATCAACTTTTAAATAATTGTTTAGGACACAAATGCAAGTTTGTGTACACGTAAGTATATGTATATATAATATCATGTACCTTTTACTTGTATTTATTTGTTTACTTAAAATATTAATGATTAGTCTGGAAGGGCAAAACAGACTTTGAGAGGCAATGTGTTCTAGCATTGTGATTACTACAAGATAGACATGCCTTCTAATTCCTAGCCCCTTTTACCCCATGTGGAGGCAGATTCCTGTTACTTTATTCATACATCTTTCTGGTAGTAAAATAACCCAGTTGCTTTTTCCTTCCACAAATTATGCATGTACAACTTAACCCAAACAAAACATAAATAGTACTTTTTAATGTACCACATAAAATCAATATAAACAAGTAGCAAGCAATTCTCAAACTGCAAAATGGCAGAAATAAAAGGACATTTATGACAATTTATGACATTATAAAATATCATGAATTAATTTAAGCAAAAATATTGCAAAGTAAAATAGTCATCATTAAATTTTAATGATAAAACAACAGGCAGCAGTTGCCTTTCCAGATTCAGATTGGAAATGCACATTTTTGCTTTCTCTCTTTTTTTAGGTATGACCCTGACTTGATATTGTTCTGTAGAGTGAGTTTTATTAAAAAATATACATTGCTTAATCTGAGTAATCATAGTCCCATGAGCATAATATATGTTGCTCAACTCCAACGAATACTGAGAGTAGAGTTATGATATAAAAATATTAAAGCAAAAGATTGTTCCAACTGAGGAGCTCTCATGGTATAAGTGCATATCCGGCCTTTGACTTTGGAGTAATCATCATCTCTCTTAGTCCATCCTATTTTATAGACCTACTATAGGGATAAAATCAAGGGAGATTCCAGATAAGCCAGCTTGAATGTGTGCAATAAAGGCAGGATATAAATCTAATTAATTAGCCGATTAAGGATATTAAAGATGTATTACTATTTCAAATTTCCTTAATAGGACTTTAAATTTTGTGTTTTGTTTCTGTATGAATGTTTATATGTGGAAAGAGGAGAAAAAGTAAACTGTAATGTGTATAATAAAAGTTCTGTATCTACGAGTGTCTGTCATTGATAACCAAATGGTGGTTTATTTCCAAATTGCCCTCATATGGGAAGTTTAATTTTTGTAATACTCTTCGAACCTTGCCTAAAATACCCAAAAATGTAACTAAAATAAAACATTATTATTACAAAGTAATTCAAATAGAAATAATTTTAAATAGATTAAGGAATTACTTAGATTATATTTGAGGTATAATGTATGGGGTGCTCAGCTTCTTTAAAATATATATTTTGAGGATGAACTATTTTATGTTTTCTTTCTTCTCAGAGATAAAGATTACCATTTAAGAACCTACAAATCTGTCATAATGGCTAATAAAATGATAGACTGGCTAATTGCACAGGTAGGGCAGTGCTCTGAAGTATATAAATTTGATTAGTAGCATGAAATAAATGTAAATAAATTGCTATTAGAAATTAATATTTTATATTTCATATAATTTTGCTTTTATATATTTGTTAATTAATATATAAATAATTGGTATTATTGACCAATTGTTAGTGTCCTGGTATCTTTTGAAGGATTTTAAAGTATTAAGCATTCTTCTATTTATCTACCCATTTAAAAAAAAAAATAGATTATATTATACAAATATGTTTTATTTTATTACCAAAGTAATACCAATACCAAGTATTAAATCATAAATTTATTATCAATTGTGTTCCAAAATTAAAATAGTGGGCATGTATAAGCCAAGATAATATAGAAATTATTTTAAGTAATGCCCATGGTTATTTTTTATATTAAATAAGCATATTATTCGCAGGGGGATTGCAGAACAAGAGAAGAAGCAATGATCTTTGGAATAGCACTTTGTGACAATGGATTTATGCATCATGGTAAACTATAAATTTATATAAGTTTTTAAAAATGTTTTTAATATAAAGATTCTAACTTTATAATCTGATATCAATACTGTGATAATTGCTCTAGGATATGCAGTATGTAGCATTTATTGGTTTGTTACTAGAACCTTTGTTCTGTGATATATACCTTTAAAAAGTGCTGTCTAATTAAGAATCTCCTTAAAATACTTGTGCAGATTACAGATAGGTACTGTCATCCATTCTTGCTAATCATAAAATGCTACACTGTTTTCTTTATAAAATTACTTGCTAATAGCTGTGAAAAATACAATACTACAAGGATCTACTTTCTTATTTATTTATTAGTTTTATATATCATAATCCTTAAAGACAACTATAGTTAACAAGATAAAAAAAATAACATAGTAGTATAACAAAACTACATTAAATGCAATAAAAAGTAGTCATCTATAGTGCAATAAAGCCAAATATAATGACACTTCATTCTACAGACACTTTCTGAAAAATCTCATTTGAACCAGTTTTTACAATGTCATCAGAATGGGTGCTGCTCTAAGTTCAGGAAGGAAAATATTCCATAATATATGGTACATTAATAGAAAATAATTGTTTCTGAGATGTAGCTCCTTCTTTTCACAGAAGTGGCAATTACTAATAAAAAAGAAGGAATTTATCGGACAGCTCAGTTTGGATTGGAAGATGCTAGAAAATGATTTATTTAATAAATCATATACTGAATAAAATTTTAGCTGAGTTATAAATCAATAGATCTATAAGTGATGTACAAATATTAACCTTTTTTCTGTCAAATAGTGCTGGAAAAAAGTGAATTCAAAGATGAACCACTTCTATTTCGTTTTTTTGCGGATGAAGAAATGGAAGGCTCCAACATGAAACACAGACTTATGAAGCATGACTTAAAAGTAGTGGAAAATGTAATCGCAAAATCATTGTTGGTAAGTATTTTAAAAATGGAGTATGTATGTTTGTTTGTTTGCATGTTTGATTTTGATGCTGCTAACTCCTATTATTTGCAGATAGACAATGTTATAATTTATAGTTTTTTTCAGATCCACGCTATTGTCCATCAACTTAAATCCCCTAGACCTCTCTTGCTCTTCTGACTCTTGCCATGTTTTTTGTAGTCTTCAGTTTTGTGAGGAATTGGAGTACAACATATAGGTACTTTATAGAGTCCAAAGTTAGTCTGTATTATCAATATAGAATTTTATTGTTTTTATCATAAACAAAAAAATACATCACAAGTATTACACAATGATTTATCCCATCCCCCTACCCTCCAGACTTCCCAAACCAAACCTAGGCTAACATTCAACTACAAGTAAACAAATATTAATATCTCTAACTCCAAACTCTAAACTTAAGCAATCCATCTCCTCCGTGTTAATAAAAA